GGCAATCCACTCACCTCAGCCTCCCAAGGCGTGGGATTACAGGCTGTGCCACCGAGCCTGTAATGCCTCCATTCTGACCCAACTATCTTTCTAAGAATCCAGGGTACTGTAAGACAGCTTGTTTCTAACTCCACACCCCTCCCAGAGGCAATATGTGTTATCAATGACCATTTTTCTTTTTGGTACATTTACTGCAAATGATATCTATGGAAACTTGTAGCAAAATCTATGAGTTCTGTGACTAGAAGCTGCAGGATTAATTTCTTTTAGTTAGAAAAACAAGGGGCTCTTCGGATACAGCACTATATTTTTATACAGATTTAATGTGATAAGCCGAATGATGACATTTCTCTTCTCTCCCCATCTCTACAACCTGTAAATATGTTATCTTATATGGCAAAGTAGACTTTGCGGATGTCATTAGTTAAGAACCTTAGAAAGGGAAGATTATCATGGATTATCAGAACAGGCCCAATCTAATCACACTGTTCCTTAAAAGCGGAGAAGGCAGCAGTCAGCGGCTGTGACTATGGATGCAGTGTTGCTGGCTTTGAGGTTAGAAGAAAGGGCCACACGCCAAGGAACACGGGCAGCCTCCAGAAGGAGGGCAAGGAGAGATTCTGCCCTGGAGTTTCCAGACCCTTTGGTTTTAGCCCAGTGAGAACTCTGCTGAACATCGAACCTACAGGACCATAAGGTAGTAAATCTGTGTGACTTTAAGCTACTGAATTTATGACAATTTGCTTCAGCAACAATAGTAAACTAATAAAGCCGGTATTCTCATGGCTTTATTCACTAGAGTTTCAGGAGCCAGCGTGTATTTAACTATTTGTTGTTTAAAAATGTAGTGTTTTGGAGGCCTCACCACATTGACTTGAAAGTTTCAAAATGAAGAAAAAGGTTTTAAAAAATAGCTTTGAATGTTACTAGCGTTGGCCTTTAGAACCAAGACAGCTTTATTCAAATAGCACAGCGAGTCACTATTAAATACACACTGTAATCTTTTCCTTTCCTGAAGAACTTTACAAACCAGACTCTACAGAGAATCCGTGAAAGCTTCCCTAAGAGTAAATTAGTTATTTTATTTCACATTTCATTTCGTATTTTATTTTTTATTGTACCTATACACGAGTAATTCATTGATCAACACGTGAATATAAATGCCCTTTTTTAACCTCTTTAAGGCTCTGAGCTTGTGATAACGTCCCTCTTCCCACCAGTAAGTAATTCTTAAAGGATGAAGCCATGATTAAAAATCAGCAGGGAACAATCTTTACGGTCAATCTCGATACCACAGCTCCAACATACCTAAGTTCATCCATTTCCCTCTTCTTCTTCATTTCCTCTTTTTCTTTCCTTTTCATTTCCTGAATTTGGGCTTTTTTCTCATTCCTCTCTTCTCGATCTCTGCATTCTTTCTCTGCTGCTAGATCAGGGAACCGCTCCATTTTGGTCTTTTCTAATCGGTTCAGAATCTCATTCACTTTCTTCTCCACTGTCACAATTTTTACCTTGAAGGGACATAGGGGAAAAAATATTGCCTTTTTATTTTTGCTTTTTTCTCCCAGAAGAAAGGCGAGGTTTTCCAGGGGTTTAGCAACCCACTTTAACTCCCTTTAGAAAACATTCATCATGCTCAGCCCTCAACAACAGAGGAGTGAGACAGAAAAGACGGATCGGAAACTCCATTCCGTATCAGGACTCCGCCTCCTTCAGTGGTGCAAAACACTTACATCCTTTTGCCTGTGAAAGCCTATCTGCCCCACATCCATGTCAGCTGTTTTCTTCAGGTTAGACCACGGCGTATATACCACATTAACGTTGTTCATCTTGCAGCCTGCCAAGAGAGACTGTCTTCAACATGCAGGCAGGACCAGACGGTGCCAGGTGTCCCCTTACCCACTGGCAAACTGCCATAAGCCAACAAGAGAAACGGCTTAGCATGACCAAGCCACCCATTGTTTCAAACCACCAAACGTTTTTTCAAAAACCACCCACCAGAGGCAAATGGTAAAGCCAACATTAAACAAAATGCAAACAAAAATAGGATACTAGAAAGCTCCGGGGACTTCTGAGAACGCCCTCAAATTGAATGAGAAGCTTATCATGTGTGCTTTTTTCCAAGAGAAAAAGGACCAAATAGGTTTCCTCAGATTCTCAAAGGAGTCCTTGACTCAATCAAGGTTAAGGAGCAATAGACAGCTACAGCCCGGGGGTCATGAGGCCTGACTCTATCCCGGCACTACCACAAACTGCGTGCCACTCTGCGGAAGTCCCCACAGCTCTCTGAATCTCATATAAAACACAAGGAAAATAGACTAGCTTAATAGGGTTTTTGGTTATTGTTTCTTTCAACAGCGGAACCCTTCTACCGAAGAAAACATACACAAGTCGTCAAAGCAGAGTTGCTTGAAATGGCGCCAAGTCCCCTGTCCACTCCTCTTCCTGCCCATCACCCCACACCCTCCACCACACGTCTCCTACCCCCAAGGCCCTCCCCCCCAGGCAGTTCTGAGAATCTCAGATTAACCACTGGTAGACGGCAATAGATTTAAACGTTTATCAAATCCCCATGTACATTGGAGAAAGCTGGTGAGTACCACTTTATCCAAGGGGTCAAAGACAACATCAGGGTGGGCGCAATGGCTCACACTTGTAATCCCAGCACTTTGCAGGGAAGAGGCAAAAGGACTGCCTGAGACCAGGAGTTTGAAACCAGCCTGGGCAACTTGGCAAGACCTTGTCTTTATAATAAAATGTTAAAATTAGCCAGGGCCGGGCTTGGTAGCTCAGTCTGTAATCACAGCACTTTGGGAGGCTGAGATGAGTGGACTGCCTAAGCCCATGGGTTCGAGCTCAGCCCGGGCAACTTGGTGAGACCTCGTCTCTACAATAAATAAAAAATTAGCCAGGCGTGGTACCACATGCCTGTAGTTCCAGTTACATAGAAGGCTGAAGTGGAAAGATCGCTGGAGCTTAGCAGGTCAACACAGGGGTGGCCATGATAGTGTCACTGCAGTCCAGTTTGGGTTAATGGAGTGAAACTCCAACTCAAAAAAAAAAAAAATAGCTGGGCACGATGGTGCACACTTTTAGTTCCAGCTACTTGAAGGTGGAAGGATCGCCTGAGCCCAGCAGAATGAGGCTATGACAGCTGTGAGTGTGCTACTGCATTCCCATCTGGGCCACAGAGAGAGATTCCAATTAACAATAAAAAAGCCCAGGCCCAGTAGCTCATGCCTGTAATCCCAGCACTTTGGGAGGTGGAGGTGAGGACTGTCTGAGCCCAGGGGTTTGACACCAGTTCGTGCAATGTGGCGAGACCTCATCTCTACAATAAATCAAAAAATCAGCTGAGTATGGTGGCATGTGCTTGTGGTTCCAGCTACTTGGAAAGCTGAGATGGAAAGGTCGCCTGAGCCCAGCAGGCGAGGCTCCAGTGGTCATGAGCATGCCACTGCACTCCAGCCTGGGTGGCAGAGAGACTCTGACTCAAAAATAAAAAAGACAGCCGGGCTCGGTGGCTCAGCCTGTCATCCCGCGCCTTTGGGAGGCTGAGGTGAGTGGATTGCCTGAGCCTGCGGGTTCGAGATCCACCTGGGCAGCAAGACCTCATCTCTACAATAAATCAAAAAATCAGCCGGGCGTGGTAGTGCATGCCTGTAATTCCGGCTACTTGGAAGGCTGAGGCGGAAGGATCGCCGGAAGCGGCCACTGCACTCTAGTCTGGGCAACAGAGTGAGACTCCAACTCAAAAAAATAAAATTAATTAATTAATTAAATAAATAAATAAATAAACTGGCCGGGCATGGTAGCGCGCCTGTAGTTCCAGCTACTTGGAAGCCTGAGGCGGAAGGATCTCTGGAGCCCAGCAGGTCGAGGCTGCGATGGCTGGGAGAAGCCACTGCACTCCAGTCTGGGTGACAGAGTGAGACTCCAACTCAAAAAAAAAAAGACAACATCAGCAAAAATGGAGCAAAATGACATCATGTGCTCTCTGACTGTCACATGCAAAACTTCACCTGTGCAGTTTTCCTCCTCAAAGATGCATAATGGGACTGTAACCAAGAGGAAGCACCAGACAGACAAAAAATGTTGGAGTCTCACTCTGTCGCCCAGAATGGAGTACAGTGGCCGCTCCTGGGGGTTGAAGGAGCCCTCAACCTGGTGGGCTCCTTCTGCCACCTCAGCCTTCCAGGTAGCTGGAACTACAGGCATGCGCTACCACGCCCGGCTAAAACTTAAATATGGACTGCATATCAGATAATAGTACTCCATCAACATTAAACTTCCTGTATTTGATCATGGTAATGCAGTTACTTACTTAAGACAAAGTCCTGTTCTTAGGAGACATATGTTGAAGGGCCATGATGTCTACAACTTTCTATCAGATGGTTCAATTTAAAAAAAAAAAAAATAAGCATGCTACATTGAGAGAGAAAGAAAATAAATATGGAAAAAGTTTTAAATTAGTGAATCTCAGTGAATGGTACATGGTAGATGCATTTTCTTTGCAACTTTTCTGTGCGTTTAAAAGACTTTTTCCAAAATAAAGTTTTCTAAAACAATATCCATGTTCCAGATGCAGTGGCTCATGCCTGGAGTCCCAGCTACTCATGATGCTGAGGTGGAAAGGTCACTTGAGCCCAGGAGTTCAAGGGTGCAGTGAGCTATGATCATGCCACTGTACTCCAGCCTGGGCAACAGAGGGAGACCCTATCTCTAAAAAAACAAAAACGAAACAAAACAAAAAATTCCATGTGCAATGTTCTGTGGAAAATACACGTGATCGGGCAATGGATCTGGCCTTCCAAGACTAAAGGAGGGGAGATAAGTACAAAAGTAACTTCAGTTAAAAGGAGAACTCATCAAACACTGTTGGAAAGGTACAGAGAAAGGGCTAAGATAGAACACAGAAGGTGGCTGGGGAAGGAAAAGCCTTCATGAAGAGGCTAGCAGACCTCAGTGGTTAAGACAGAAGACTTTAGAGTCAGGTGGGCTGACTTCAAATCCAGCCTCTATTGCACTTCAGAGCTGAGATTTTGGGCAAATTCCTTAATATCTTTAAGCTCAGTTTCCTCCTCTATAAAATGAGAATAATAATACCTAACTCAATAGGAGTGACAATTTGTGAAGTTTTTAGCACAGTGCCCGCCATGCAATGAACACTTCATCAATGTCAGTGATTACTACCACGAGTACAACTACTATGTGGTTCTTGAACCTTGGCTTGGATCTGGACACAGGATGACTGAGGACAAACCAGCGGCCAGAGGGAACAATACAAGCAAAGGTCCAAGGACAGAAAACAGCAAATATTTGCTTTGGCTGCAGTGTGAAATATGTGAAAGGAAAAAAAATCTGCAGTCAGATCAGCGATGCTTAAATGTTAGCTTCAGAAGCTTGGACTGAACTGTATACACCAAGGGGAGTCACAAAGTTTCTAAACTCTTAGTTCAATTTAGAGAGTTTCTATTCATCAGGTGAATATAGAACAGGCTGACCAAGGACTCTAGACCTATGACCCAGAATAGGCCGATTCTATGATGACAAACAACTCCCTTGGTTCTAAGCACTGAAGGTGGGCAACCAGGGAGAAAATTCTGTAACTACACAGCATTGCAAGAGCAGTGTCCTCAGCAAATCTCACAACAAAGACCTTTTCCTTCACTTCTCAGCACATTCTTGCTATGGAAGGTTGAGAAGGAGAGAAAAGAGTAATTCAGTGTCATGACCCTTCTCTTTCTGTTTTCTCTAGAACTAGTAAACTACAAAGAGATTAACAAGAGGCTGGGTCAAGAATCGGGAGCTCAAAGAAAGCTCTTTTAACGAAGGCACATCTGCAAGCCAGGGGTATGGCAAGGGACAAGGATGTGTGAAGAAGTTGGAACACAAAAAAAGATAATGACTGTCTCAATTCCTATTATCTATTTCAGTAACTGAAGATCTTCACTAAAAGAAAAATCTTAGAAAATTCTGTTATATGCATAAAATAGAATGTCCTAAAACACATCACAATATGTTGATGTATAAAACTGAAAATCAGTAGCTCTGTAAAGCAAGACTTTCACCGCTGTAGGCTAGGCACCTGATTTGTCATTAAGGCTGCCTACGTGAAGACTCAAGAAACACGGTCTAAGGGACAGGGAAAAGGGTATGCTGCCCAGCTCTTCTCCTGTAATCACCAACCCTTGGTGCCTGTCCCATGTTATCTTCTACCCAAACCATATTTCTTTCCAACACTCTGGATCATCCCCCAACTTCACATCAAACCACGATGACCGCTACCTTAGCCAGGTCTACTGTTTCATGTGTAAAATCTGACCTAGTAGCTTATCCTTAGTAGAATACCACCTCCTAGCTCCCCTTCTGAACTCCCACACCCACCCCAACAATCAACCTTTTTGACTTTTAAGACTATTAGATTACATCTTGTAGAGTACAAATAAATAAGCACCAAGCACAGTATGCCAGGATCTACCTAAAACACTTATGCCAACTGTTTGCAACCCATGCTGTACATTAGAATCACCGGGAGAGCTTTTTAAAAATAGTGACACTCAGGGATCACCTCAGACCAATTAAATAAGATTCTCTGGGGGGTAACAAGGCAACTGACTTGATACCTTCAAAATTTAAAGGGAGAAAAAAATGTAGGTAAGGAGAGGATAAGAGAAAAAAATAGAAAAGTGTGATTTAGAGACTCTAGTTTTAGAATCTAATGACAAATAATGGAAATAAAGGCATCAAACACATCAAACTATGAGACATTGCTAATGCTTAGCTATCAACATTACCAAATTTCCGAAAGTCTTGTTTACAAATAAACTTCAGGGCTGGCAGATCTAGACAACCTTCTATCCAAGGTAAGAAAACAATAGAAAGCTTAGCTTAGGCTAAGCTTAGCCTTAGCCTTAGGCTAAGCTTAGCTTAGCTTAGGCTCAGATAGTATCATGAAAATTAGAAGGGTAAGATTAATTTTTAGTTCTTGACAGGCCACAAAATTATCACCCATCTTAAAGAACAAAGCAAGGCAAAGGTATATTACATGTTATCCCTTTGATACAAGCCAAAGTTGATAGCATGTTCACTAAGAATGTGATTCATTTCAGACATAGAGAAACTCAACGTTAATTTTAAAAAACACCACCAGGAAAACTGACCTTGAATGCTGTTGGCTTTCACAAGGTGGGCACAATCCATCAGCACTTCCTTTGGGATGTCTTCTATAGTCTCTCCCTGAAACACAAAAGTAAACCAAATGGTCCACTACACATCATCACTGATTTATACTGTAGCAAACGACATTTGCTGCCTTACCTACTAGGCAAGAATTTATGACAAGCAGAGGCTCTTCAACTGTATTACAGAACACTAAAAAGTTTACGGTAAAAAATTTACTGTGTCTAATACAAGAATCTTTATTTTTATTTTTTGTACAGAGGGTGGGAAGGGGGCTGTCTCACTGTGTTGCCCAGACTAGTCTTGAACTCCTGGCCTCAAGTGATCCTCCTGCCTCAGTCTCCCAGAGTGCTGGGATTACAGGCATGAGTCACCATGCCCAAAATGATTATTTAAATAGAATGCAGTAATACGAAAAATACTGACAATAAGTAAAAAAACAAACAGGATACGAAAGAAAACTGTCAAAATACTAAATGTAATTATATGTGAGTAATCTTTGTTCTCTTTTTTCTCATTCTTTCTGCTAGAAACCTTGTGGGGAAAGTGGTGTCTATTTTTGACAACTGGACATCTAGGAAGATGAGGCTGAGGCCCTTACAACCTTCATCTGAGATAATTTATAGTTTTAGGTCTTAAACATCTGGTAGGTCATCTATCCTCAGCCTTAATCAGGAAAAAAGCTCTTGTGTTAGATCTCAACCATTCATTGTAAGGGAGAAATAACACAGGAATAACACTGATCCTGTTTCTCTACATAAATCTGTACCAGAATCAAAGACTGAATAAGCGAAGCAATTCCAAAAGCACAGAACTATCTCAGAGAAAAGAGTGAATGGAAATCAATTCAGTACTTCCTACTAGGCAGAGGATTACAAAACACCTCTGTCTGGGACTAAAACCATCCACCTAATTAAATATCTGGGATAAATTAAGCTGATTCTATTGTGTTTCTAAAACTTTTTTCATTGTCAATGTTTTAAATGCAAAATTCTCAAATACATAAATTTTGACCAAAAAATAAGTCACCCGAGTCACTACTTTATTTTTATTTTTATTTTTTTTTTGAGTTGGAGTCTTACTCTGTCGCCCAGACTGGAGTGCAGTGGCCGCTCCTGGCCACCGCAGCCTCGACCTGCTGGGCTCCGGCGATCCTTCCGCCTCAGCCTTTGGAGCAGCTGGAATTACAGGCGTGCGCTACCATGCCCGGCTAATTTTTTTTGATTTATTGTAGAGATGAGGTCTCGTCTGCCCAGGCGGATCTCGAACCCGCGGGCTCAGGCAATCTACTCACCTCAGCCTCCCAACGGCGCGGGATTACAGGTTGAGCCACCGAGCCCGGCTCCGAGTCACTACTTTAAAGATCTATTTCATCCTGGGCATTTCCCCAGCCATGTAAATAGAGAATTCTGAATTTAACATTGTAATAACAACGTCATTTTTATGACTATCGACTACTACATTACCATTACTAGGCTACAATGTAGTAACAAAATATACTAAATAAAATCAAAATGAATAGTTAAAAAACAAACAAACACAGCGACCACTTTTTGAGTACTTGCCATGTGTCAAATAACAATAGCCATATGAAATGGACAGCAGTACCCTTGCTTTACTCACGAAGAAACTATCCCTTAGTGAGGTTAAGAACCCAGGCCAAGGTCCCCCATATTTAATAACTGTCAAGGCACAGAGATAAACCCAGGTTTAAAACCCAGCTCTAAAAACTGGCTTCAGACTACAGGGCTTATGGATTTCTCGTGGAACCATACAGTTTCTTGGTGCTCAATATCAAGCGATATGAATATCGACTGATAGCTCTTCTTGCCACTGTGGCTGTCACTATTCCTACACAATCACCTCTTCCTGTTTTTCTAATACAGTATGAAAAGACCCAAAACAACAAAAAGTCTAGCTTGACACTACAGATAAAGTCACAGTAGGTGAGCTCAAAGTGGAGGGTCTGGGGGACTCTCAATATGTAAAAGTCAGACTTCTGACTGCGGGTTTTGTGCCATCTATGTTAACAGAATAAAAACTCAAAACAGATGAGCTTTTTCCATGGGTTTCAAAATCAGAGAAGTCCCAAGGACACTGCTGAATACCTATGATCTTCAAGGTTTGGATTGAATTCACTGAATTAAACAAAAACCAATGAATGCATATAGCACTTAGCACATGCAGGCATTATTCTAAGTGCTTTAACGATATGCCAGCTCATTTAATCCTCACAATGACCCTAAATCAGACAGGTAAGGTAGCTCCTTTCACAGATGAGGAAGGAGGCACAGTGAAGTAACTTGCTCAAAGTCACACAGCTAGTAAGCAGCAGAACTAGGATCCAAAGCCAGCAGTATCTGTGTCTGAACCCTTCAGGCTTACTGCATCTCCAACACTTACTTGGCACCTACTGAGTACAAGGGCTATGCTATTTACCGCAGGAGACCAATCAGGTAAAAGTTTTTCAGGGAGTATGCTCTTTCAAATGGAACACATTATGTGTTCCCCAAAGAAACTGTAATTGAACTTCTATTCAAACAAATAGCCAATGGTAAGGCAAACTTGGGACTACCATCAGTATTTCCATTTTCTGACACTGCAGACTCCAAAGAAAAACACAATTAATCTGTACCAAAAGCAAGTTTAGTAACCCCATACTCGATTTTCTCTAAATCAAATAGTTCCAAAATGGCAAGAGGTTGCCTAGGAGAATTCAGAACGTTGCTCCAGCACAGAGGTCATAATCCTCCACCATTCCTTCATAATGTGGTCCCTCTCAAAAACACAAATAGGATAAGTAAAGATGGGGTACAATGTTTAACCTTGCTAGTAAATTAAGAAGTGAATACTACAGCCATATAAAGTAGCCCCTTGTATTTATCAGAATAGCCAAAAGGTTTTTATTTTAATTTTTTTCCCCTGATGTCTAGTGGTTAGGGAAAGTTATAAAACCCAAAACATTTTTGGCAAAGCTATAAATAGTAGATAGCATTTTAAACAGCATGATATTTTCAGAGGGCAATCGGGCAAAAAATGGGTTACTAAACCATGTATATATTTTGAGCTAGTAATTCCATTTCTAAGAATTACTCTAAGAAAATATTTTTTTTTTAAATAGTTCATAAGATATTTATTGGGAAAATAATGTTGAAAAACTGTAAACAACCTATATTCTGACAAAGGCACTTTCATACGAATTGTGGCATACTACATTACGAACTCCATGCAGTCAAAATAATAAATATGAAAATTATACAGTAACATGAAAAAGTTGATAAACTGTCACTTTAAAAAGCAATACCGTCAACCCATGGAAGTCAAGATGTAATGTGGACTGAGACAAAATAATGTAACTATCTTACAAATTTAGGACATTACATCACTGAAAGGGGTGGAGGAAAAAAAGTAGCTTACATCTAACTTTGGAAAACAACATTTTCACTGGAAACCATAAGGCAAAAGACAAAAATAAGCGTACCCTATACTCTAGTTGAACAACTTGCTTCTCATGGAGATAGAGGTTAATAATCCGGAAACTACCTACACCTGCTGGAGTCAAATAAATAAGTAAATAAGGAGGGGGCTGGGGGGAGGTAGCTTCTCACTGTTAGAGGGATGTTACAGTGCCACAAGGGGAGAGGCTAGAAGGAACCTTGTAGTGATGGATTACAGCCAGAGGCCTCAGTATGAGCTCATGTTCAGCTTAATACAGACGCAGACGGAGAGACACAGAAACGATCGGAAATGTGCACACAATGGGTTAGCATACAGACATGGACTTCCTACTCAGCTGAGAGGGCCTAGAAGCATTGACACTCCAGTGGCAACAGGCCCATCCAGAGTCCAGATCTTGATTTCGAAACACCATTCACCAACAGAAGGAACTGGGGTTCCTTGGAGAAATGGCTGATTCTAGAGCTAGGGCAGGGAAAATACAAGATGAGCCTAGAACACTTGGAAGCGCTAGAAACTAAGGCTGTGCTCAAAAAACAAAAGGATGGAAGCTCGACAGAAGCATGTAGGAGCAGGGCTGAGGGATCTGAAAGCTCCAGCCAAAGCTGCGACAGTATCAGCAACAAGACCACACAGCACCAGAATACACCTCAAAACACACATAAACCACACATGTGAGGCCATACTGATGCAAATAAATGACTAGTAACTAAGTGGAAGAGAAGAGATAATCTTCCTTCCAAAAGAATTCCAAATAATGTACGCACACTCTCCCATTCCGGAAAGTGAAGCTGAATTCCACCCCTCACCCCCGACTCTGGACTAGACTTAGGGACTTGCTCTCAAACAACGGAGCACGGAAAGGGGGAGAACAACTCTGCAGTGGAGAAATCTGGCCAACGCCACCCTGGCCAGGCAACCGAGGGCCACATCAGCGCCAAACCCTGGCAGCACGGGCTCCCCCGAAGGGACGCAAAGAGAAGGGCACTTTACCTCTCGGCAAACTCACGACCCCAGTCTCATCGTGAGAAAAGGGTCAGACACATTCAAACTACACGCCATTCTACAAAACACCAGGCAGGCCAGTACGTCTCAAGCCGTCATGGTCAGGAAAATTAGGGAGAAACGAGAAACTGTCACAGACCAGAGGAGACTGGGCAGACATGACAACGAAATGCAACACGGTATCCTAAACTGGATCTTGGAACAGAAAGAAGACACAATGGAAAAACTGGTGACATCCAAATAAAGTCCAGAGTTTAGTTAATAGTAATATGCTAAGATGAGTTTCTTAGTTCTGACAAATTTACCACGGTAATATAAGATGTTCACAATGGGCGAAGCCAGGGGAAGGGCATATGAGAACTCTATACTATCACCCCTGCAAATGTGCTGTAAATCTAAAATTATTCCAATGTAAAAAGTTTATTAAAAGCACTGTGGGCCACTGCCACGGCCATCGCCTTGCTAAGCTATGGTGTGGTCATGCACTCTTTGAGCTATGGCCAGGCCATGTTTCCCGGCTTTGCCCCCCGCCCCCCGGGAAGGTGAATCTCCTCTTTCTAATTTACTATCCAAATAAACTACATTTTCCCAGCTAACTTCTGTGCAATTCTTTGCATCTTTCATGCAGTACCAGATCGCACACCAGGCACACTCACACCCCCAGTGGGCCTGGTCTAATATTCTAGAGGACACTGCTGGGAGTGTGACTCTAATATTTTTGGGGATTCCACAGAGATCTGCTGCTCTCTCTAACTCTTTTTTCCAACTAGTGTCTGTGGAGAAAAATAAGGTACTTGGCTATCTTTTCTCTGCTACTCGCTCTTAATCTTATCGTCCATGACAAGCTACATTGAACGGCCCTCTCCCTGTTGCCTAAGCCTTGTCCGGTATGAAGACTACATCTTCCCTGCCCACCACCATGGCAGCAATCATGTGACTAATACACCCACCCGCCTGCTCTTTATCACCTGATGTCAGTATATGCACTTACCTGCCCCTTTGGGATGACATGGAACAGACCACCATGCCATTACCTTAATGACCTTCCCCCCATCAAAGGGAAAGGTTAAAAAGACTGAACCATGGGCAGCCATTTTGCCACTGCCTTGCTAGATTCTGGTTTGGCCATATGCTTTTGAGTGATGGCTGTCGCCATGTTTCCTGACTTTGGCCCCTTTCCTACTTTGGGGAGGTGAATCTTCTCTTATTTACTTTTAAATAAACAATATTTTCCAATCTAAAAAAAAGAAAGCAATGTGAGGGCCAGACATGGTGACTCATGCCTATAATATTAGCATTTTGGGAGGTCGAGGCAAGAGGACTGCTTGAGCCCAGGTGGTGGTGACCAGCTTAGGCAACACAGCAAGACCCTGTCTCTATAAAAATAAATAAATAAGTAATAATTAAAAGAATAAAAAACATCATTTTACTGTGATTCAACTATATTAAATATAAAACATGAATAAAGACAAGATTGGAAAAATGGTGGTATTGTATTAGTAAGGGACATGAAAACTGCTTTCCTTTGTTGCTATCATACTGTTTTAAACTTCCTAAAGAAGTTCATTATAATGGGAATACCTGACCTCCAAGAGGCAAGAGAATTACATGAGCCTGAGAGAAAGGAACCACACATGATGTCCACCGGAGAGAAAGTCCAGCAGTGTCAACTGAACTAAAAGGGAAAGCAGAGTTGACAGACAACACACTCAGGTACCATGCCCTGTCTCCGTCTCAGAAATCCCCCAGAATTTTCCATAGTGATTTTCTGGGTCATGGGGAAGACATCTCTTCATTTGGTATCTTTTAGATTTTTGTACATATTTATTGCTTTACGCAATTTAATTGCAGAAAAAGGATAACGAACAAGATGTGATGCTCATCATGGGAAAAGTCGTGAATCCATGTTGAAATTCAGTTACCTTATGTAATCGAAGGTATACATGAGCGGAAGAGAGTTTGTCCACGTGAAACCTACAAAGAATGAAAACTGCTTTTAGCAAGAGGTACAAGACAACCATCTCCTCAGGCCACTTGCATTTAAAGCATTCCATTCCAAAAGCACTCACTCAGCGCCTACCACATGCTAAGTGCCACGGGGAGTATAAAACAGTCACCATCTCCAAACAGCTCACCATCAACCCAAAGAGGTAAGATAAACACCCAAAGCTATGCAGCTGTGTGTGATGAAGTGCCAAGCGAGGCAGAGATAATAAATATTAAATGTGCTGGGAAGGGTGTTTTTTCAAGTGATAAAAAAAGCTGTCAGTGACTGAAGGCTTCTCAGGAAGAGCTGAGACTGGTTTGGCCCCTGACTGAAGCATAGGACTTTGAGCAGAAAGAAGGAAAGGAATTTCAGGTGAGAAGAGCAGGGAACGAAAGAAGCCAGAGAGACTCCCAAGCTGCAAGCCTGGGAGACTCACAGGACCACAGTTTGGAGAAAAAGATGAGGGCTTTGTTTAGGACACCCAGGGTTTCAAGCGATGGCAAAACAATCCAAAGAGAGTGTCAAGTAGAGAGCTGGAAGAGTTGAGTGAGGCCTAAAAACACGAAGTAGAACACACCATTAAATGGGTCAGCCCAGCATTCATTCAACACTATATTCTGACAGTGGCATTAATGTGTTTCCTGAGTGAGCAATGCCCTCTAAGACATTATCCTAATAATATTCAGAGGCTCCCCCCAACCCCGGTATCTTAAATTCACCTTTCATTAAGGCTCTACCAACCATTATTTTAATTAAATCTTTAAAAATCCATGCAACATTATGGGATATTCGATTCTTCATGTTTATAACTTGCCAAATGCAGTTGACTTTCCCTCTTTCCAGTACCCAGAGATGTCCCCAGCATCAAACATGAACGAGGTAACACACGACTGTTACTTTGTGATGATGTTAACTTCAGTCGTATTGCTTCCTCGTCCTTACTTTTCCAGACTGGAGAATGCTCACTGGCATCGTTACATCCCATTATATGTTTCTCAAGACTTTTTTAATTTTAGCCTTAATGAATTTCAGAAGTGAGTATGGTCATACATTCACATGTAGTACAAGATGTAGACAGTATGATTCTATGCAAAAATGCCCTCTTTATAGACATTAAACATCTTGCTATTCATTTTGGATACAGAATGATATTTGGCATTTTCGGCAAACAATGTATGGTGACCTAAGATTTTATTCTTAAGCATTACTGATAGCTAGATATAACATCTTATTTGATTTATATTTCTCCAAGTGATTCATTTACTTATTTGCAATCCCATGTGAGAGATTCATACAAATTACCGCCTTCAGCTGGGCATTTTCCACCCCAAAAAATATGTTTTATGCAAATCTAAATTTATATATCTCATTATCCTCTTTCAGAACCTTAGGAAAATACCACACTAGGAAGCAAGCTAAAGCAACTTTTACTTGCTTTAAGCTAGTTCCCTGTTTACAACAACTTTTCCTACACACTTATAGTAGAGCTAGATTGTATTCTGATTGTCTCTGATGTGGCATTTTGTCAAAAGAAATACCCAAACTGGCTGGGCGCAGTGGCTCATGTCTGTAATCCCAGCACTTTGGGAGTCCAAGGTAGGAGACTGTTTGAGGCTAGAAGTTTGAGACCAGCCTGGGCAATATAGCGAGAGCTCATATCTATTAAAACAATAACAAAAAGTACCCAAATAATTCAATTAATACCTTATGATTTCATTCATAAGAAGTCAAAGAACCAAAACGCACACATACAGGAATATCACTGCTGATCTACACCAAACTTATACCAATGTGAGACCGGTATACGATAGGTACACCTCTACAAAAGGGCACCTCTACAAATGGACACAAGTATGGGGCTTTGGTTAAAATGTTAAACAAACAAACAAACAAACAAAAGGGCTTACGCCTATAAGCCCAGCACTTTGGGAGGCCGAGGTGAAAGGACAGCCTGAGCCCACAGGTTTGAGACCAGCCCGGGCAACTTGGCGAGACCTCGTCTCTACAACAAATCAAAAAATTAGCTGGGTGTGGTGGCACATGCCTGTAGTTTCAGCTACTTGGAAGGCTGAGGTCGAATGATCGTCTGAGTCTAGCAGGTCAAGGCTGTGGTGCCACATAAGCATGCCACAGCACTCCAGACTAGGAGACGGAGTGAGACTCCGACTCAAAAAAAAACCAAAACCAAAAACAAAACCTTCCTAAACCTCTTAAAATGCTTACTCAAGAGTTTAAATATGACTACTACTGCCTCTCTCATCCTTGCTATCTTTCTCTCATGCCTGAGTTCTAAGCCCAAAACATCATTCCCAATTTACATGGTAACTATATGTTAAGGAAACTGGCAGCCAGCTATTTACCATTGAACAGCCGTGAGCAAAAATACAA